TCTCTCTCTCTCTGTCTCTCTCCCTTTCTATCTTTCTCTCTCGACCATTCTTGAATGCATTTACAGTCACAAACACACTCAGAAACATATACACAAACCTGAACGCATAATCGAGTTAACAAACTAAAATATTTCCCTTCCAACATTCTTTCTGTCTCTCTTACATCTCTATCTATGTATCTGCCCCTCCGCCTCCTCTGTCTGTGTGTCGGCCTGTCTGTCTGTCTGTCTGTCTGTCTCCCTCTCTCTTACTCTCTCGCTCTTTCTGTCTTTCTTTCTTTCCTGTCTTTCTCTGTCTCTTTTTATCTGTCTATTTCCTCTATTTAACTATCTATTCCCCCTCCCTCTCTCTCTCTCTCTCTCTCCCTCGCTCCCTCCTCCTCCATTTTTGTGTTTGTTATTTTCTCGTAACACCTCTAATCATCGGCACTTGTATGGCCTTAACGTGTTACTAGTACCATAATACCTTTGCCAATGTAAGGGAGACTTCGAGTTCGATTGCGGGTGGTTGGATGGTGCTACTAGCATTATTTCATTACTTTTCCTCTGTTGTTTTTGTCTGTCGGTCTTACTGTTTCCCAGCACTGAATGACCATAAGTGTATCGATGTGCTTCGCTTTACTCAATCAAACAAACGAGTTCGATTCCCGTTTGGATATAATTTTTATTTTCTTTGGTCTTTCCTCTGGATCGTGTACATCCTTCTCCGCCCAGGTTTGCCTTGACAGGTAGGGTCGAGGTTTACCTTCTAAATGATCTTAAATGTGTCTGAAGACGCGTGAAAGTTCCTACATTGAAAAAACAAACTATATGATTTGGACTGGTCTTCTTGGCGTAGAGCTTTACGTTTTGTCAGCGGTAAAAAGTTCATTTCGATCATCCTCCCCTCACCTCCCAACACACACACACACACACACACACACACACACACACACACACACACACACACACACGCACGCACACACACACTGACGCACGCACACACACACTTTTTGTTCAGGTGGGGGGTTTTAAACTGACGTTTACCTTGGGACCGTTGTAGTAAGTGTTTTCCGGCACTTGCAACACTAAAAGGTCATGTAAGTGCTGTGCTGGAGATTAGAGGTGTTACAAGAGAGTTACAAACGCACAATAAATGAGGAGTAGAAATAATGATAGATTGGAAAAAAGGAGCAAACCACACCAGAGGATTGGAGGATGTGCTTCTCTTTACCCAAATAAACAAACAAACAAAACAAACAGACAGACTGTCTGTCTTACTTTTTCCCAGCACTAAACGACCACTGTCGTGTTGTCGATGTGCTGCTCTTTACACTCAGACAAACTGAACAAGCAAACAAAATACACAAACTGTCTGGTTTACTTTTTCCCAGCACAAAACGAACAGGATCGAGTCGATGTGCTTTCTTTTCTCAAATAAACAGGACGAAGAAACAAGACGAACAAACTATCTCTCTTTTTGTTCCACACCACTAAAAGACCATGGTCGTGTCGATGTGCTGCTCTTTACTCTGACAAACTAAACAAACAAACTAAATACACAAACTGTCTGTCTTACTTTTTCCCAGCACAAAACGACCATTATGGCGTCGTTTTGTTTCTCCTCACTTACTCAAATAAACAAAACAAACCAGACCAGGGCAACCCGCCAAGCACTTAGACTGATTTAAGTACCGATTATGTTCTCTGTTGTGCCGACGTGGGTGGTTGGCGGGTGCTCTGGTGTGGTTTGCTCCTTCTTTCCCATCAAACATCTATTATCCTGATCTTTCCTCCTTTTTTTTTTTTTTTTTTTTTTGTTTGTTTGTTACTCTTGTAACACCTCTAATCTTCGGCACTTATATGACAGTATTGTGTTGCAAGTGCCGTAAAACTCTCACTTTTTTCCCCCTTGCCCATTTATATGAGATTGACGCCATCTGATTAGTTGAACAATTGCGTATGATAGTGTCCAATAGTGTATTACATGCCTACTTAGAACAAAAAGTAACTGTGATAGCAGATAGAGATTCCAGGATTATAGATGTAAGTCATTGATCTGCGAGCGGTGATGATTTAATAGTCGTGATGAGTGATGATGTGGGATTGCATCTAAGTAATGTGAACGTTAGTATGGGATTGTGTTGAAGTAATGTTAGCGTTAGTAAAACTCTTACTTAAACTAAAACTCAGTTCTGCCGACTACTAGGGATACGATGTACCTACGTCAGAGAACAGGCTTTACCTCACTGAAGTTCCAGATTTGAATCTGAATGGGATCCAGTTTTTGTTTGGTTTTGTTTTCTTGTATTTTCGTCCTTTCTGTAATATTTCTGTTCAACGCGATGTTTTGATCTAGTACTAAAGGCGAGGGTCTTCGAAACGGTGCTGGTGGTTGGAGGGCGCCACTGGTGTTTCCTGTGGGTGGTTGGAGGGTGCCACTGGTAGGTCCTACTTCTTTACTTTCCCTCCGTTGTTTTCTTTTTTTTTTTGGGGGGG